GCGGCGAATTTATTTCACTTTGCCTAAGGAACGGGGTGTGCTGCGGCCCCCATTGCCTAGGGAAAAAACCCGGATGTAAAGTGAGTGAAACTAAACTAGAGTGAAGTAGGGCAGCAGCAGCCAAACTCCGGTGCAGCGGCAGCGGCGGCGGTGATGGGGCTGAGCACGGAGCGGCGGCGGCCAAACTCTGCTGCCACCGCAGTGATGGGCCCGGGCAGCGCTGCAGCTCGGCTCCCAGGGAGCTGCAGCCGAGGCGAGGCCGGAGCCCGCTACGGCCCCCCCAACTCCGCGGCCCGAGCCCAACTCCCCCTCCTGCAAAGGGGCTTCGGAGCGGCCCCAACTCCCTCCAGTGCAACAGCAGTTTAGAGGGGGGAAAAAAGCCGCGAGGGCAGGAGCGGAGAGAAGGAATGGGGAAGCACTGCAATGGGGGAGCGTGGTCCAGGCAACAGGAGAAAGATGCAACCTCAAGTCGAATGCAACATGCAATCCCCGGCCGCCGCTCGCCCGCTCCCGTCCCTCGCCACCCCGCCCCCTTTCCAAATAACTACCCTTGAACCACTTTATTAGCGTACTTAGTCCCACACTCTCTTCGGGGAGGGGCGGGGGACGGGGTCCTTCGCTCACCTTTATTTATTGCTGCTTTCTCCCCCCTCTCCATGTTTTTTATTCCTAAGTTCTTTTGTTCTAAGGGGGATGATGGCATTTACTTTTCTGCTTTGTGTAGCAGGGCAATCACTGGGAATCGGCCACGTATAATCCGGCGGTTTGTCATATTTTATTAGTGAAAGTATTTTATGCCTGTTCTACCTCTAAGGACTGTAACATGGAGAACTGCAGGGAGGGAAAAAAAATATCAGAGGAATTCTTGTTTTGAGAGATTTCTTGGCGGGGCGGGGGAGGGTCCCCCCCTTTTTTGGAGGGGGTTTATTTAGATTTTTAATTGAGTTTTCAATTTAAAGCTTAATGTTTTTATGTGGATCTACTACTAGATTCTGAAATAACCCCCTACCACAATAAAGAAAAAAAAGTCCAAAATCCTAGATTAAAAAAAATCCCTACTGGACAGTGATATTATCTGTTCTGTGCAGCACGCTGGACTTAACATAGTGTTGGCCTTCGAATGTTAAATAACAATAAACCCCAACCTCCACTGAATACAAATGGGGGGTGGGGGTGGTTTTGTTTTTAAGGCTCAGCACTTTTGTAGCATCTGCCACTACGCATTTTCCAGGCATTGATTAGCCATGCAACTCCCATAGGCATGAAGTCCAGTTTTTGCAGATAAAGAGCAACAGTGGTGAGATGATTTGCCCAAAGTGAAAGTGAGTCATTGACAATCAGAAATAGCCTTGGACTCTATTTGTTACTGGTCACATCTTTTCCGTTAAATGGTATATCCTCCAAGAAATAAACAGTATTTAAAAATAAGTCGATGTTCTTTACCTTGTTATGTACTGCCACCAGAGATGCTTTGAGATCCTTGGATAGGAAGGTATATTCGTACTTCTGCAACCTGCAAAATTAAGTTTAGTTTCTCAAGAAAAAGCAATTTTTAAAAATTCTGATTTCTTAAAGCTAAAAAATAAATAAAAGTATGAGCTTTCTTTTACATGCGTAGGCCATTTAGTACTCTGAGCTTAATGTTTAAAAAAATTCACAGCAGAGAAAGTGTGTAAGAGTTTGAAAGCAAAAATGAAAATCCCTATAAATGATTCAGGAAGGCTGGATGAACTCATAATGTTGTGAAACTAAACCCATAACGCAGTCAAGATGAATAACGGAAGGACAAGTTGGGTAGCAAGACCCAGCTTTACCATCTAGAGATAACCCTAATGTGCTTAAAAGATGAGTGAAGGCAGGGGCCTTTCAAGCTGGACCCTCTAGGCACTGGAACCATCACCTAATGGTGTTTCCAATCAGCCCTGGCTGTCAAAATTTTTCAGATCAAGACAGCTTTAGTGTTCTTTCTGGAAAAAAAAAGTTAAAAAATATTTCAGAATTTCACAGAAAAAATTCAGAAACTCAAAAGGTTCCTGAATGTGTAAATGCTATAGAACAGGGGTCAGCAAACTTTTTTCTGTAAAAGCCAAGATTGTCAATATCTTCGATTTTGCAGACCATACAGTCTCTGTTACAACTTCTCAACTCTGTGCAGTTGTAGCACAAAAACAGCCATAGAGAATGTGTAAACAAATGAGCCTGGCTGTGTCCTAATAAAGCTTTGATTTATGGGCCTTGACATTTGAATTTCATGTACTTTTCATATGTCACAAAATATTCTTTTAATTTTTTCAACCATTAAAAAAATGTTAAAACATTCTTAGCTCTTGGGCTTCACAAAACCAAGAGGTGGGCAGGACTGGGCCCACAGGCTGTTGTTTACCAACCCCGGCTTTAGAAGCCTAAAGTTGACGAGCTGAACTTCTCGTACAAGAGGATGCCTGGTTAATAAGATGTTTGTACAGCAACCAAAAATCAATGTCATGCAAAATCATGTTTTAGATATTTACTCTTAATTAAAATATTTTAACCAAATAGTTGTCTAACACTCCTATAACTATCAAACTCTAAGGAAAATAATCCTCTAGCTTGTGATTTATTGATAGACCATGTTTCCATTTACGTACTCTTCATCACTCTAAGATGGTGAAGAGGAGTGGATTCCAACACCTAAAAAGTGTCACTCCTTTTCAACTAAGGCATCTTGGGCAAGTTACTTAACCTCTCAGAGCCTCAGTTTTCCTAGCCTGTAAAATGCAGCTGTTAATACCTACTTTGTAGGGATACTGAGAAGATTGAATGAAATAATTCATGTAATTAGCACAGTGCCTGGCACATGGAACTCTAATACATCTTTCCCTGTGCCCCCAAATTCATTTTCTGAGTTCACCTAACTCTGGAGAAGGTGAACACGGGGACTCCCAATATCTTGTCAGTGCAGATGTTACATATGAGGTCCAAGGAGTCTCGGGGTGACTCGAGGTTGTGGGGTTGGTATTGTGATATATTTTGGTGGGTCCCTCTCAAGCTCTAACTAAGTGTGTCTGTCATGGGAGACACACTAGCTGTGTGGCCTTAGATAAACACTTAGGCCTTCTGAACCCTGATGTTTCTCATACATAAAATAAAGATAATGACATGTGGGGTTTTTGAAAGGGCTAAATGGCATAAATGCTAGAGGAAAGAAAAAAAGATGAAATTAGTGTAAGTTAGTGAAAATCCCAGAAATAAGCCAAAAATTGGAAGTTTAGTATCAGAAGCTCCTTTGAGGTAATCATTCAACTTTTAGACATGAATGACACAATAACAGCAGGTGCATAATAACTTAGAATTTACTCTCCTACCATCTAGTTCCCCCCCACACAAAACCATTTATTAACCATCAAAATCCTGTTGAGCAAAGGTAAAACTCAAATTTTGAATGTTATTAAATATTGGAGTACGTTTTTAATTCTTATAAAAGTACTTGAAGCTATCAGTGTTTTCCTATATATTTCTCCCTTCTGTTCCAGGCTTCAAGAGGTCATCCAAAGTTCAAGATTCGAAAAATACCTACAGTTTTCTTCTTGTAATTTTATGGTTTCTACTTTTCACATTTACCTTGTTACCATGTATAATTTTTTTTTTTTTTTTGGTGTAAGATAGGAAGTAGGAATCTAAATAACTTTTGTTTGATAGAAAATATTTAATTAATATTGGGCTTCTATTGGATAATGTAAAATGTCATTTGAAATGATAACACAGCTAGCTCCCTATAAGGACTGTCAGTCTAATGTAGAGATACTGTAAATACAGGAAAAATAAAACAGGTGTTATATATTATGGTATTATATGGTGGCATTATATATTATAATAGAAAATAAAGAAGTTTCTTCTGAATTTTCTTATTTTACAGTTTTATAGAGCATAGTACATGCCATACCCATGGATATTAAGGTCTTTTTGTACTTGTATTTGTATAAGATTGTCTCTGATGTTCTGGAATTTGACAATATTTCAAACAAGTAATGACCCCACCCACCCCCAAAAAAAGGACTAATTGAACCACTTTCTTATCTAATCAACCCCCACACCTGTCCTTCGGCTCAACCACTATTCTTTTTTCTACTTCAGGCTAAAAAGTAACCCCATTGTCTTTTAAAAGGTCAGCTTGAAGAGGATTTGAACTCTGTCTTAAAACATGAGGATGCTACTTCTCCAGTGAGGCAGGGAGGTAACTATGGGAGGTCATCGAGTCTACTTTTCTCATTCTTACTGGTCTGGAATAAATGAAAACCTGGCTATACCAACAAAGTGCTTAGATAAGTAAAGGAGACATATCAATGTGATTTTTAAAGAATTATGACAGCAAATCCCCAGTG